GGTCCTTCGATAGAAGAGTGTACCAATTCTTAAAGGGCTGGCAACGCACTCGCTAACCTTCTGGCATTGAAAGTGTCCATTGGCGGCGGTATCACCTCCTGCCCGTTTGCCAACTTTTCTATAAAAAAAAGATGACCTAAATCGCAAATTGCCAGTTCCAAAAAAAATTAATGTAACTGCACCTTGTAAAACAATATTCGTCAGAAAAATATATAACCAAAAATGTATTTGCTTTGAACTTCATACTTAAATGTTGACTTTGAGGAAACATTACTTTTTAAAATCTGGTGCCGGAAGTATGCGAAAAAACTAATTTTTTTCACCTTCACTTTGCGACTCGACTTTTTGTTACAGTAAAAAAAATATTTTTGCTTTATGCTTAATTACTACGAGGCTTATGAATGTGAGATTAGTCGAAATATTTATTATAATGCCACCTGTTAACCGACTGACCCAATCGAAATATAACATATTCAACGTTAAAGTAAAACATACTTAACTGGTAAAATTTAGACTTATGACTTTTACTTAGAATAGCAGTATTTTTGACATAACCAAGTTTAAAAAGATAAAAAAAATTATACTAACACTGATATTGCTTTCAACTGTAACTTAATGTAATAGACATTACATTACATTAGAATTATTTAAATATATATATATATATATATTATCTAGCTTAAGTATTCTGCTGCATTTTTTTAAATGCAAGAAAGTCGACTTTTATTTAATTATCTTCTTAAAATAAAATAACAACGTTGAAAATTAATAGTAAACTATAATAGGAACAGAAGACAGTAAAATATTAGTTGTAACCTAAAACTGTTTCACAGAATAAAAACGAAATTATTTGCAAACATGACAGCAGAACGGTAAAAAATAATTAGACAATATAAAAATGGAGATAACTCTTAAGAAGAACAAAATCATATTAAAAATTAATCCACTGAAAAAAGGTTCCATGCTTAAAAATATGTGATTAAATATGCATTTAGATAAATAACCATACTTACTCAAAATACTTATAAAATTATGGAAATTTTGCTGGACACATTAAAAATGTATTAAAACTTTGTAATGACGATGACATTCCACCAAAATGAAATTACGAGTCGCAGGCGCAGTCAGTCACGGCCAACGCACTAGACGTGACGGCCGTAATGCGATAAATGATTCAATTTTATTTGTACTAGTGTTAAAAAACATAGTTTGGTAAGTAATAGTTTTGTATTTAAGGAACAACTGTTTGTGTTTATTCGATTTATTTTTAATGTCACACAAAATAATATTTTTAGGTTACAAATATATTTGTTGTTTTTATCAGTTTATAGCTATCTGGAACAAGTAATACGACTTATTAAGGTAATGTTATTGAACCTTAATTATGCTGTTTATCAGATATTTAAATATAAAAACGTTCCTACCCGATTAATTTATATTAAGTTACAATAACAAAAAGAACTTTGAACGTTCTGGCACCTCAGAAATACCAGGCATACAAGTAATATCGTTCTTTTTTCAAATATTAAAACAGTACACATATAACGAACAAAGTATGGAAAAACTCAGTCTAGATTATACACTAGTTTTTCGATACATAATTCATGCGCTAGACGCCAATTATTATCATTATAAAGAAGGACTTAAGAATAAAAAATATCTGCTTTAGGTAATTGCTGAAGTATCTGGAAATTGTTAATAAGTACATTATTAATATATACTACGTTTATACACAATTTATAGTGAACAATTAACTTTGCATTAAATTTAATTTGAATATGTACGTACTTGTTGTTTGTGTAAATTTGAATAAATAATAGCAAGACACCTGTTTATCATTAGATTACTAAAATAAGATTTATGTGTTTGAGGTCATACATTCATCCAATATATCATCTATCAATTAACATTTAATCATTTATAATTTGGGCATAGACCTAATCGCATCATAGGTAGGACCAAAATTCAAAAACAATTACCCTATGTAACATAAAACAGAACTTCGATTGTAATATGAAATATGGAAAAGTTATGTATGTGTTGTAATCTTCCTATAATATTTCATCATTATAATATAATTTGTGTCCAATAAAGTTTAATAAGTATAAGGTAAGTACAAAAGTAAAAATGCATTGGTGTCCGAATTTGATTTAACCCACCACAAGCATGAAAGTTGTGCGCTCCACTAGACTGTGCTCAAGCTGTTCGGATAACGAGTATAACTATAATTGTACCCCATTATCTATATCATACAATTTGAATATAAGAAAGACAGTACCTACTCGACCGATGTCACAAATTCTTTCACCATTAGAATGCTCCCTTATTTCTGTGTTATTTTACTTTTAAAAATTCACAGAAACTAAAAATATTTTAAATAACTATACTGTACTAGCAAAGAGTTATTAAAATGTTTAAAGAATTATATTAATTTCTAACATATAAACAAAATTAATGTAAAATGCGGCTGAAAAAGCTAAAGCCTGCAAATACAGGGATCTAGGCTCCGAATATGGTTATGTCCCATTCGGTGTCGAGACCCTTGGTCCGTAGGATCCTAGCGCTTTAAGGCTTTTTAAGGAAATAGCAAAAAGGTTAGTCGACATCACAGGAGACCGAAGAGCTGGCAGCTACCTCGAACAAAGATTTTGTCTAGCTATTCAAAGGGGGAACGCTGCCAGTATCTTCGGAACCTTGCCTAAAGGGACTCCTTTTAAAAATATATTTTAGTTATTATATTTTAAGGTTAGTTATTGTTTTTATTAAATCATTAAAAAAATTATTGAATTAAAAAAAAAGAATATAATAAGTCTTCTTCCATTTCATAATGTCTGGTAAAATATGTGTGGGCTTGGATTAAAATTCCAACACAATTATTTCAAGTTACCAGTTCCCCATGGTTTGTTGACGCGACTTCACCCCTTTATTCATAAGAACATAGGAGTCACATCCACACAAACGACGCAAGGCCTTCCATTATTAACATACAACCTTCAGTTAGATAAAAAATAATACAATACTAAAATAAATGCTATTTTTTACCAAAATATGCTAATAACAACATTACAAAAACTAGTAATTCTCATCCTCATTAAGAGAATTCAAAAATTGTTTTATACAGTAATTTAATTATTTAAGTATATAACATGTTACTGCCAAAATTAAAAATTTTATCCATCCCATCAGTAAAACCATCAATACCTAATTTTTAAATTGGTACTATAACTATTATAATAATATACAGTGTACTTTTCACAGTAGTATTCTTATTTGCTGAAGATCACTGTAAGGTTCCCGCTACCCTCTAATGATATCCATCCACTTTGTTCGATCTGTAGCTTCCGTTAACGCAGCTGTTATGGGGAGACCCGTGAGAATCGTGACTTGGACAGCGGGTTGGCGATCTATTTATATATCTATAAACATAGTATTAGAATCTTAGAAAATCTGACCAAATATTAAATATGTTAACAAAGCGGCCCAAACGGTACATCGCGAGATCTATCAACTTTCACTTTAGCATAGATTAGCTTTGTTCTTCTTTCCATATTCTTTTAAAATTGAGACGCACACATACTTTTCTTTTACAACAATCGAAGACGAATAATGTAAAGAAACATATCGTTATGAGGGCGATTGATTACCGTATCAATAATTGAATTTCAGACCAAAATGTCTAGTTCTTAAGATGTTCATGTTATAATAAACACTGATAACAGCCAGACAGCTCTAAGGCCACGTAAACAGGTCAATCTTCAAACAGGTACAATCACCCTCTAAAAATCTGAGCTTCCTCAATAAAATATGCGAAATTAAAACTTAATTCCTTGTAAATAATTATTCATATAGGTCAAGATCCACAAAACAAGGACTTAGTATAATGTAATTTACTATAGTAATTAAAGTACTATCTTGCAATAAAATATACGTTAGTAAAATGGATAATACCAAGGGTTGATGCCCATTGGTTAACTGAGTAAGGACTTTTACGTGATCTTCCAAATTAGATTTGTTTATTAAATCCTACGCTCCCACGGATTTAGAAAAAATGTATCGCTATTACATGCTTCACGCACCTGTAAAATTAAATAAATACTTAACATTTTCTGTGCCAAAAAAATGACAATATTATGTTTGTAAAATCAGTTGGACCCAAAGTACTCATATATCCGTAATTAAGGGTGGACATATTGGACATTTAAATAAATATTTTATATTTACACCAGCCAAAACTATTAAACGAATGAAACAACCCGGTGTTTGACCTTTGCATAATAACACGGCGGCAATGAACGGGGGCATAAGATCAACAATAATTATTTTTATAAATAAACTACCTGACCCGGCTAACTTCGTTCCGCCTAACAGTCTAATAATATCGTGTTACCTTTAGTTAAACTTAATTTAGGATTTCATTATGGTTTAAGTAAGGAACATTTATTCAACTTTTTTTGCAAATACAGAAATGTTATATTGCGAAAGAAGCTTCTTCTCTCTAGCGCCAATATTGCGATATGTTAAAGCGCTTTCTGATATACAATTTCTTTTGATGAGGTAACACATGTCTTCGATCAAGATCAAAGCCTGGTTATGCATCTCCTAATTCACCTCAAGATCGGAATATCTTGAACTGACACGAATTCAATGTAAAATGATGCGTAGCTTTGTCAACAGACAACAAATTAATTAATTTATTTATTGTTATTTCATAACTTTTCCGATATTTTATTACTTATTCTGCTATTCGGAGCAGAGAAGAATCCACCAAAAAAGAGATAGAGTAGTGTACACGATATTGTTTTATAAATTTAGGTGGTAAATAATGTCTTGTGAAGTTACTCATATGAAGTATGATAAATCAGAATAAGAATATATAATAACATAGTGAAATTAAAAATACAATTTATTTATATATAGTATTGAAATCACTTAAATAAGTGAGACCGTATCTCTGTGTCTGCCTTAAGCCTGTATTGACCTAACCCCAACGTTTACAGGTTATGGCACCGAACAATCAACGTCAAGTCAGTTTCCCCAACCTTCCCTACCCTCATCTTCGAGATATACCCCCAAAGACGGGTCGACAATGGCTGGATGGTAAAAGAAAACAGGATGGAGCTGAAAATCTTTGGAGGATTCACGACAACCTGTATGATTTGACTGAGTTTATCTCCTCACATCCCGGAGGTACCCAGTGGCTAGAATATACTAAAGTAAGCTACAAAAATATTCTATAAAGTTATCTATACTGTATTAATGATAAAAATAATTATAATAAAAATGATCGTGATATTTCAATGATAACAATGTAGATAATAATCCTATTTTAATTTTCATAACACTTATATAATTTGAATTGATATATTTCATTAATATGTTTTATGAAGCATAATAATAAAATATATTCTCTTCTTAATCCAGAATTTTCAGGGTAATTGGTTTCTGGTCTACATGTGTTAGGGCTAGTTGATCTAGTTCTTAGGGTAGGAAATTAAACACTCCAATGATGACTTGATTCACTATAATTCATACATTGATTTTACGTAAACTGTATAACTTCAAACTTGAACAAAGGAATTGCCTGTGCGCATGTGTTACAACCTCTTTTATCATCTAGTCCCCACTCCGAATCGACCTTCCCACTTCGGGCAGTTATTCCAGTCAATTCGTAACAATTCGTAAATAACCGAATGAGTCAAATGAGTAATTATTGCACATGCACACTTGTAGCAAAAGAATATGTTTCATAAAAATGTTTAGAATTTAATTAAATAAATATTAAAAGCTAACACATGATTGTTTCCTCTTGGAACCGCTACTTGCATACATTCATTAAAAATACATTGAAAGACACTAAGCAAACTTTATAACGAAATTGTTTTCGCTAATACATTTGTCACTTTAATAAATTCTTTACAGGGCACAGATATAACGGAGCAATTTGTTACACATCACTTAGGTGGTGTCGCCGAATCAATCATCCCGAAATATTTTGTTCGAAAGGCGAATTCGCAACGGAATTCACCCTTCACATTCGCCGAAGACGACTTTTATGTATCACTAAAAACAAAAATCGTTGACAAGATAAAAGATATACCGAAGGACGCGAGAAAGAAGAGCGACAATGTAACTGATGCGTTACTGATTCTTTTTATAATTGGAGGTCCTTTATGCTGTTGGACTTGGACACAGAATTTGCTGCTCGGTCTTGTGTCAACAGTCATACTTGGCTACGTACTTAGTGCTCTAACAGTCTGTGCCCACAATTACTTCCATAGATCTGACTCTTGGAGGATGTATTTGTTTAACTTCAGTGGATTTTCTTATGCGTAAGTTATTATGATATTACTGTGATTGACAATTGCGTGTTGCTCCCACGAGAATGTAAGTGCGTGCTATTTCACCATGCCTCCTGCTGATAGAGGACAAATCTTTGTTTTTAATTTATTTTATTATTAGTAATTACTTAAGATGTCATGTGGAACATGGTGTAATGGTTGCAGCCTCTACAAACATTGTGTAAAACAAAAAACTTGGCGATTAAAAAGAGTGGCGGGGTTTATTGCCAGTTCTTCTCTTCTGTTCTACGCCCTTGATTTAAGAACTGGCAGTAAATGTAAAATTAGAAGAATTTAATATGTATTTTTTTTTGACGTTCATGGGTGTACATTGTATTACCTATATGAATAGTTGATTTTGACTCGACTTTGACTGACTTTACAAGATTGTGAATTTACTCATCATACACGTAAAGCGTCGAGCCAAATAGTATTAAGCATAATAGTGCAATTTTATATTTCCTATAATTTTATAATTACCCTATCATTGCGAGTATAGCAGTCATATTAATTACATAGATTTATTGCAATGTGACTTTTCACGTGTTTAAATGTGGAACTTATTTGACCTCTTAATTACAAACAGGTACATTGTTACAACTCGTAACAATGTACCTATGCCCTTGCGCTTTTATTGTACCGGGTTTTTTTAATTGATTTAAAAATTTCAATCACAACCTATTTATATATGTTTTGTATTGGACACCCATATTAAGTCTTCCATAGTTTTTATCATTCTTTTTCACAAGTAAGAAACGCGAGGCTTCGAGTTACTTTTATAATTTTTTATTACTATAAATTCTAACATGTGAATCTGCTTCCCATGAAATATATTTCCTAATGTGTGCGTAAATATATAAAAAATCCTATAGACAAGATATTATATATATTTGATATATATTTATAATATATATTTTTATGTACTGACCTGATTATTCAATGTTTGTATTGTTTTAGAGACTGGCGGATAACTCACGCAATGTCACATCATCTGCATACAAATACGGCCCAAGATATAGAGATAGGGCTGTTAGAACCCTTCCTTCAGTTCATGCCAAATCCGGATAAACCAATTTGGGCCCAAATGGCAGCTTTTTATTATCCCATCGTATTTGCTTTCGTTTCTCTTGGATGCCTTTTAAAAGAGTACGTATATTAACATTACTACCACATTTCTTTGTTGTTCAAGAATTAACATAAGCCAAAGTAAGCTAAACTTAGTCCTTAAATGGTCTGTAATCCAACGCTGGGTAGCATTGTTCTTTAAATAAATCATTAGATATCGTTTAATAGTCGGCTCTAAGTACGTAGCTGTATACTAAGGATAAGAACCAGAGTTAGCGAGAACTATGACTTTTTCCACAAGGAGAAATACTTCACACACACATGTGAAGTATTTCTCCTTTGAACATTAATAAGTTATAACTACACAAGTAATTAGATGTGTGGTACAGCAAACTGTATTGAAAATTGTGCTTTAATATTAGAATAACTTTTTTCAGGTTTGGTGCTGGAATCGTTAGATACCGTGGCGCTTCAGTGACATGGGCTCATACCCTACCATACACTGTACCAGTATGGATGTGGCTAGCTAGCGGGCTATATCTTCCTTGGACGATCGCTATCTGGTTACTATCACTGATGATTGCAAGTGAATTTTTCATGGTGTACGGTCTTACGGCAGGTCACCACGCCCATACCAATTTCTTTGAAGGAGATGTCCCTAGGTACTGTACTGTTTTGTGTTTGTAAAAATATATTGAAACTTTTAGCCTAACAGGCGTAATTAGATCCAAAAATATAACACTGATAATATGAGAATAGCTAATGCATGTAGTATATGGTAGATTAGTACATACATGTTTTATTTTGTTATGTAATATATATATATATAAGTTGTAAATTTGTTTGACATCCTGATGGAGTAGCTTATGTCTCCATGTCGTGTAATCTTCTATTATATAAAATTCTCGTGTCGCGATGTTTATATTCATATTCAGTAAGTCTGAGAATCTGCTACTATCTATCTTTCAAACCCCAAAGGGATAAGGGGTATCCAACTTAATTTTTTTTTTTTAGAAAAAAAAATGTTTTTATTTTGTTATGATACAGGATATAAAAATAAATATAACCTCTAATTTTCACCCCTCTACGATCAACCCCTATTTTTTATTATTGTAGATAATTATTTTTATAGAACTAAAAAATGTTTTCCCAGAAATAATATACATGGCAAAACAAACGTTTGCAGGGTCAGCTAGTATATAATAAAAGAAACAGTGGCCACACAACCTTTTAGGCCCAATTAGCTTTCTGTATCTGTTTCGTGGTCATTTGTTTTTTTTTTAATAGGCCAATATGCGATTTTATACACACTGTCGACTTTTTGGGTCTAAGGTCCTCACTATGTTTTCCTTTATCGTAAGAGCGAGTCTTAAATGTCATATATAAAGATATGAAAACACTCAGAAAATTTATCAAACTGGTTTATAAGCTTGAAGGCCAAACCTTCCTTATATAAATAAATAATAAATCAAACAACTTAATAATAACATTTCTTTAGTCATAAATAAAAAAATAATTGTATTAAAACCAAACGAACGTATAATATATAGACTACATCACGTACCAAATGAAAATATTATATTTTTTAGATGCCGACTGAATAATAATACGATGCCACCGTCAAACATCCAGTTAAAACTACAAAGCGGGTCACTGAGTTTTAATATCGCGTGTTCCTATTCAGTTTGGCTTCAATGGATTGCGATTGTGACATGTCTGTTTGATCACTTGTCTTTGTAGCTCTAGATCTGTTCCATTGTACGGCTGAATGCCTCACAATATCGTATGGAAAGCTTTTCTAAACAGAATGAAATATTCCTCAACCAACTCGAATACCCATAGAAGCCACCCATTCACATAAAAGGGTTGATTTATAGACATGCCAATACAAAATACGCACCTGTATCAACACACGACATCGGATTCTTTGAAACTTTTGAAATCAGTCATTACAAAGCTTTATCGTTTTGGGCCTTAGATTTATAAATAGATTATAATCGTGTTTAAGTAATATTAGTTGATCAGCCTTCTTACCGAATCATCATCACCGATCTAAGTCACGTCAAGGCAAGGCAAGGCAATATTTTCTTCGCTCTATGAGCAAAGCTATATGAAAAGATAAAGTGGTTTGGTATAGGCATTGGTACATAGCCGGGGTTCAAACTCGTCGTGAGTTTGAAACCGAGCTATACACCAATGGGCTACCACCTCAGGGTTTCGAATCGCATCTTTAAAACTAGGTTTATACAGCTAAGAATACCGTTTATGAATGGTGCATACTGCATATCTTAATGGAAATCTTTATAGCCGCCAGCTAACATTATAGAGTGCCGCGTTTAATTTTTCGTATATCAACTAAATTTATCACACTTTTCAGATCAGAGCAGCTCGACTGGGGTATTCATCAACTGGATACAGTTATAGAAAGAGCGGAATATGCTGGAAACCACTTTAAATCAATCACGAGGTTTGGAGATCACGCCCTACACCATCTCTTCCCAACGCTGGATCATGCTGAGCTTAAATACCTTTACCCAACACTTTTAGAACATTGTGAGAAGTTCGAAATGCAACTTCGAACCACAACCTTCTATGGAGCCCTATTGAGCCAAAGCAAACAGCTGATTCGGAAGCGGCCAAATAATTTCAGAGAGAAAAAAATAAAATAGACAGACCGTATTTATAAATACTAAATCGGTCTTGCACCGTATATAAAGTATCTCTTTCCAACAAAGCAAAAACCCAAATGGATAGAGAGAGACGTATGAGTACTTTAATTGAAATAGTGTAATAAGGGGGTTAGGGTAAGTGTAGACTTGTCGCAAATAACTCCCGTAAGTCAAAATTCAAAGAGTTGGCATGTTAAGTTACAACTTTGAAGAAGATAAGATTCTAGTACTAATTGTGTTTTAATATAATTCTAAATATATATGTGAGTCTGTGATATTGAAGTAAGGACACGAGTATGTATTATGTATTAAGAAATTCATAAAATATTTTTTGTTCTTCTCACGTCATTATGTTAAAGGCTAATGGAAACAAAAAATTCCAAGCCAACAAAAACTTGTTCTGCAACTAATGTTAAAAAATATCTTATAATACTAAACAGTGAAGATTTAATTTATAATATTAATATGATTGACACAGATCTACTAATTGGACCATATGTACTAAGCAACGCATAGATTTAGTAAACATGATTCGGAACTAATCACTTTGTACTAATTATGGTATTGAGACTTTGATTAAACCGAATATAAATTAAGACGTGATCGCTTAACTAATTTTGTATTTCAGAAATGTATAATGAATTAAAAGTATGTTTTATATCTGATTTGTTTTTATCAAGCCCCTAACATTCAATTAGAATAAGGATAAAAATGTTGTCGAACAAAGCGAAGTAGGATTTTTGTAGTAGAAAACTAGTATCCGTAAACCCTTAGGGAAGATGTGATTCTAGAATTCTGTCAGTAGAAAAAGGGAACGCTAAAAGCCTTTATGAATAACATTGCTATCAAGGAAAGCGAATATAATTTAGTTAGGAAGGAAGTATAGTTAAAAAAAATCGAAGAAGTAGGTTATTAATTCGAGGTGAAATTATTGTTTGTTTCGTCGTTTGTTAATTTTGCATATGCAGTACATGGGACCTTTTAAATTCTAAGTATGTTCACACAAAAGTTACGGCAACGTATTGATTAAGAGCGTACCAATTCTTAAAAGGCCGGCATCGCACTAGCGAGCTTTCTGGCCTTGTGAGTGTATGGACGCACACTGCCAGATAGCTAACCAAAGAATACCACTTAACATTAGGTGGGTCTCCTACCCAATTTAAACCCCACCCCTTTTCCCAACCAACACAATATGTTGTATTACAAAAACCCGGAACTACATATTATTTTAATTAATTGGTATATTATCTCCTAGTATTTCAGCATTTTATTACTCTTATTAGTGCGAAAATCTCTGTTGTTATTTTGATTACACATACACTTTCTAAGTTCACCCGCACCTTCTCATACATTACATTTTCAAAGTCCTAAAAGTTTTAATGTCTTTGTATTACTCTGAATTAACTCGAGAGGGTGAGAAACTCCGTACTAATTTTCAGTTCTAAAGAAAATATATGGCCTACAACACTTTCCTCTTAGCAATATCACACGAGCGCGAATTAACAGCTAGAATTCACAGGAGTAAAAAAGCATTAATGGAATGAACGTTCCTCAAGCTCTTAAGTAACTTCTGCAATTTTATTTTAAAATCGCGATCAACTGGGTTTTTAGAACACTGTAAAATGTATGGAACTATCGTAAACAATGCATGAATGTATTTTTACAATTAGCTGTCTAGCCTCACCGTTGTAGATTTTACTTTGTTCTTTTTTAAAATATAATATCAATCAAATGTTTTCTGTAAAAATGTGTGACCAAAAAACTTCAATCCTGACGTCGTTCGTTTGGACCCCGACTGTGCTCTGTGCACCAATAATTCTATTTCTACACTTACATATACATATGTCATCTATCAGTTGTCACTTGGCACACCTGACGGACAACACACGTAGTAATCTGTGTAATCATGCATCCATTCATCTAATCTAACCTCTCCTTTTACATTTAATATATAAACTGAATTAATTGTATTTAGATAAAAATTCCTAGTATATTTCGAAGTGAATTTTAGGTAAAGTTTAATAAAACTGAGCTCTAATAGACTTATCGAGGCGTTGCAGACTCCAAATTTTATGACGTCATAAACCAGACCCGTTATCCGGGCTTGATTTGATAAATACCCTTGTTTGTCATATAAATAAAGGGTATTTTATATGTTTAGAATTAATTTGTTACTCTAAATTGATAATTACGTTTTAGGGTCAAATATTTATGTTCCTTAATCCATGGCATAAATAATAAAATATATTAAGCGAAACGAAGCGTTCTTTAAAAATTGCGCCAACTTCAAATTTCAATCAAACTGGACAAATTAACGTTTGACAATTGAACGATGTGTCAAATGTCACCAATCGCTTCGCAATACTGGTTTTGGTAAAAAAAAATTGTCTTTACCATTTGAATAAAATAATCTTGTCTCTTAGTGAATAAAAGTGATTAAATTATAATAAAAATGTATCATAGACATGGATATAAAAATATCGATCTTCTGACAGTTTGGTGTGTCAATAGTCAGTCTAACTTAATTATGTAACCATTCTAACGCTGTACCGTTAGCTGTGCTCATACGTTTCTTCACCGGCGCCTGAAATTGGTACTACCGTCGCCATTTTAAAATGTCAGACTGACATTATCAGTTATCTGTAATTTCTTGGTGCGTACAATAAATAATTGGCCTAAAGGTCTAGATACCAGGCCATAAACTCCAAAAAAATACAATAAATAATTTTACTATCTACCAACATCTAATAAAAATCCAACTAAAATGTATTTATTTTTATTCGTTGCATTATTAATTATAATGGCAAAGTTTTCATTATCGAACGGATTTGATTGCTAGGTATCTTAAAAGGTATTATATTAATAGTACAGGTAACAAAACCTATCGTTTCAGTTGTTCCTAAGTTTGTATCACATTTATTTAAGTCTAGAACTGTATTTCTTAGATTACTAGTATACATTGTTTTATTAAGTCATTTCAATAAACTATTAATTTAGCCTGCATGACTTCAAATTATTCCACTTGTAATGGTTAGTTTTTATGTACTGGCAATTCTAATATCCATGACAGCGACGCTCTTACCGGCCAAGAAAACTATGTGGCTCTGTTAGTCCATTGAAATGTTACATGGGCTGAATTTGAGGACGCAATTTTATTTAAGGGACATGTAGGGAGGTCAATACAAGCTTAACACAAAGTAGTTCAGGAGATATAGCCAAAAATGTGTTTTCACCCCTATTTCCAAGATAGCGGCCGGGGGACAATGGCCCCAACCCCACAAACTTGGGATTAAGCTTCCTCCTCTAACAAATGTTCAGTTTGGCCCTCAAACTGTAAAATTTCAAAGGACTTGTTAAAATAATTTGAAAACTGATTTCTCTCTTCTTCGTCGTAGTATTCTCCGTAGAATAAATACTGTCTGCAATTCAAATTTAGAATGGCGTGATAATGTCTTATCGGTAGACAGTATGCTTAAAGTAATATAAAATGAAATGCGTAATACTTAAATGTCAAAAAGACTTATCGCCCCGAACTTCTTTTTACAAGTGCCCAGAATAAAATTGTTTAAGTTTTTAACGTCACCCGAAGTAATTTGTTTGAACAAACCATAATTAAGAGGCTGTAATGACTGCAAATTGCGCCGTTAAGCTTAGAAACACCCCTGTCACATAATTTGTACGCGCTAATACCTACAAAACCCAGACAAATTATAGAGTTAAAGGTTTTTAGTGTACGGTACATAGAGATAAACACAGCCTTCATAGGTGCATATTAATAATAATAGCGCTACAACACATCAGATTGTAAACGTTTTTTTGATCATTTTTATTTCATAGCCTTTTGACTTATGTAATATTTTTTAATCGAGATAGTAAAATACTGAAAAACTCTCGTCTGTCAGTATTTTCCTTCACTGTACGATGATGTATTTAATGCGCACATAGGCAGAAAATCCATTGGTGCACAACCGAGGAATGAGCCTACGATTTCATGGATGACAGACAATTAGTTTTAATAATCTTGAACAAAACGTTATGTTCTAATTATTTATCCTAAATAAACACATACCTTTTAAGTCACCTGTGTACTTTCTGTAAGTCAGATGACATATAAACTGGGGGTCCTAGGTTCTTAGCGCAACAGTAATTGCAGCGTTAGAAGGCTGGTTAAAAATACTATATATATACGTTTTTGTATAAGGTAACGAAGTGTAAATAAATAAAGAAATACTTAAATATTTCTTAAATAGAGTACTAATGTATAAATGAAATTTTGAATATAGAACGCACCCTTATATTGCCATCTCCTTTCGAAGGTTGGCGATCATCATGGCTTCTTTAATTTTGGATGCCGCGTCTGGTGAAGGTCTACAGGGCCATAGTTATATTTGTCATAGCCATAATTATATCCAGGAAAAAAGTAAATAGGCTAAAATGAAAAAATAATAAGACAAGTGTACACAATTATCCCTTTTCATACACGACACCTTAACAAGGGTCTCAAATATATCCCAGTCACTCATTATGAAATTCATGGCGTTGCCCTCGTGGGAGTATCCTCGCTTTGAAGATAATTTTAATACTTGAAGCTTTACGGGTGGTAGTTAAGTTTTTAATTTACCAATGAATACTTTATAAAATGGCATCGGCAGGTCCTGAGCTATAATCATTATTTCGCATTAGCAGAAAAATAATTATCATTTTACTTGTTTTAATATAAGAATGAACGCAAAACTTGCATATATATTTCATAGAAGCTGAGGGATTACCCTTGAAATATTATTCTGAAATAGTGTTTCTACAGTAATAAAAAGTAGTTTTTAATAACAGTAGAAATGAGGATCCAACAAAAGACCAGGGGCCTTAGTCAAGATGCCTTAACAGTAGTGTATGTAGAACGTCAAAAACTAAATTTGTATGAAAACTTTTCGACACGAACTGTCATTTCCATACAAATTAAGTTTTCGACTTTCTACATACACTACTGTTAAGGCATCTTG